TAAAAATGTGGCTTTACCCCCCTCTTAGCATCCACCAACATTTTATTTTTTATTTTTTGAGACAGAGTCTAACTCTGTCACCTGAGCTAGAGTGCGGTGGCATCATCCTAGCTCACAGCAACCTCAAACTCCTGGGCTTAAGTAATCCTTCTGCCTCAGCCTCCTGAAGTAGCTGGGACTACAGGCATGTGCCATCAAGCCTGGCTGATTTTTCTATTTGTAGTAGAGATGGGGTCTCACTCTTACTCAGGCTAGTCTCCAACTCCTGGGCTTGAACAATCCTCCTACCTTGGCCTCCCAAAGTGCTAGGATTACAGGTGTGAGCGACCACACCAGGCCACCACCAACAGTTTAAAAATGTTATTATTGTCATTATTTGAAATGCCTTGGTCATATGCCATACTTTCATTGAAGGCACTGCATTGTCATAAACACAGCAGGGGCTTTTGGAGTCAAAGTCTTGGTCCAAAACTCTCTGTTCTTTATTAGCTGTGGAGTTCAGGCAAGTCATTTCACCTCTTTAAGCCTGTTGCCTCTTCAAAATAGGGTCAAAATCACCCGCCTCACAGGGCTGTTGTGAGGTTATGTGAGGCAAGGTCTGTAATGCTCCAAGCATAGTACCGGCACAATCTTAAGTGGCCAGCAAGTTAGTCCTCCTCCTTTCTCCTTCCCAGTGCCCCAAGCTTATCCTCACAGATACTAGTAACACAGTAACACTGTGCAGGGCTCTTTGACTCTCCCCTGAAGGGCCCTAGAGCAGTGCTTCTGGACTTCCGTGTCTACTTGGCATATTTTCCGTGTTCTTTCCCATAAATTGCCACTTTGCGTTGTTATCACCCACTCCCCTTTCCTATTGTAATCTCATATGAGAGTGTAGAAAAGACAATAGCTATTTTAACTGCTTTACATTAACTCATCTAATCTTCATAAAACCATATCAACCAGGTAGTTATAACTTCCATTTTATGGCTAAAAATCTGAGGCACAGGAATGTGAAGTGATTTCCCAAGGGCACATTGCTAGTTAGTGGAGCAGTGGTATAATTTCTTGGACCCGGGCAGTATGTCTCCACAGACTGTGTTCTTAACCATATACTATACGACCTGTCAAAACCAAGAACCACCCTAATAGAAGGTGTACAAAGTAAGAGTTAATAGGCTGAAGACTGGGGATCAAGACTCTTTTATTGATATTTCCTTTCAGGCCAGACTTTCAAAATGCAGCAGCGAGGAGCTGTATGGCTGGTTGGAGTGAAGTGTCATTTTCCAAAGCAGATTATTTGAGACAAGGGACAAATACTAAATGCAGAAGGAATTTAAGGCAAGAAAGCCTAGTTGTTGCCTTTCATCCTCTTGGGTGGTTTCTTTTAGCTAAAAATATGGCTTGATAAAAAGAATGGACACATTCAACTTTCCAAATAATCTGATGTTGTCTGCATGATGTAAATAGCAGTTCACAAATTTTTTCTGTTAATAGAGTCCACTGAGAATCTGATGAAATACAGATTCCCTTTCTAGGAAAATACACATTTAACTTTTTGTGTACAACTGTAGAGGATTCCAAGATCCATTCTTGAACATGAAATTTAGAGATTCTTTATAGAAGAGCAGTGGAAAATCAGAGGCCAGGGCTTAAGTCCTGACTCTTCTACTGACATGCTGTGTAACTTTAAATAAGCCACTACCCTCTGAACTCCATGTGCAAAAACAGAGTGATCATCGTTGCCTTGCTTCCATCACAGCAGTAGACTGATGAGTGTGGAAAGTGTGGTAAACTGCAAAGTGCTGTCTGAATGTTGTTAGGACACTGAGGTTCAGAAGTTACTCACCTTAAGGTCACACAGCTATTAAGTGGCAGAACCAAGGTTCTAACTGGAACACACTGAAGTCTCTAGAATTGTGTATGTGTGGTTGTGTGTGTGTGTGTGTGTGTATGTGAAGATCTCCCTCCCTCCCTCCAAGAATTTTTAAAAGGATCAAAGAGATAATGCATGTGAAAGGGATACGTACGCTCTGAAGCCTATGTGAGTTACTCCTGGACTGAATTTAAGACTTCATGTCCCATCCACCTGTGGGGATCCAGGACTCAATGGTTGAGGGATTGAGAAGGATGGGCAACAGTACGTCAATCAGCGATACTGCTAATGGAGACAAGTAAGATCCTCTCCCACATCCAAATGTAAAAAAGTCTACGCTTGGCAGAACTTTACCAGAGCTCGGCAAGCTCTTAAAAACCCATCTGACTGACCAGCACACTCAGGTCAGCATGTCTAGCATTTGTGAGTAGCAACTTTAATGTAATTGCAAACTTATTTCATGTTTCTAATGTCATCAACAAATCTATAAAATCCTAAATCTATTCTCTTACCTTAGAAATGGAAGATTCCATAAAAGATGGTCTCATTCAAATCTGACTTGGATGCTTACAATTCAGTGATGAATACCTGTGTGTCCTATAAAACTAGTAGTCCCAGAGCATGGCAATATCCCAAACCAGAAACCTCCAAGAAACTGCACCCTCTGAAAGGCAATGGGAAACTGGCAATACTTACTTCACTTTCAAACTAATGCTCCAAAGGCACATCTAATAGACCACGATCACAAGGGAGTGACCTGGAATAGGGGGATGACAAGGAGCCCTGGAGCTTCACTGTAAACAGCTGGGCATAAGGACACCAATCAAATATTCTGATCGACTCACTTACTGCATCTGGAAGCTGGGATGTAAATCCCAAGGAAGCCTAATGGTAGGAGGAAGAATTGCAAAGGGCACTGCTATTTCTGTGGCGATAGCAAGTCATTTTTTATTTGTTTTTGAGACAGGGTCTTGCTCTGTAGCCTGGGGCTAGAGTGTAGTGGCATCATCATAGCTCACTGCAACCTTGAATTACAAGCATGAACCACCTCGCCCGGCTGCAAGTCATTTTACTGTTGTGCTCATATGAAAAGGTATAAAATTGCTTCGGCCTCCTGTTCTGGAGCTCAGTAGACCATCATGTCATGAGTGAACAATTAGCTGAGGACTTTCCAAGCTATGGGGCCTACAGGATAGAAGTTAATGCGGCTGAGCAGGCAGACTGAAAAAGAACTTTCCAAGACAGAGTTGAAAAAGAGTGTGTCAACTTCACACACATTGAAGGAGCATTTAATAATTTTTATGAAATTGGCTTCAGAGTAAAGTCTATATTTTTGGAATACAGAAGTAAAGGAGAGTGGGCGGGAACAATATGATGAAGTCGAACCCAAGTCAGGTGGAACAGGTTAAACATGAAAGTGAATTCAGAGTCCCTTCCCTCAAACCCCCACCCGCACCCCTGCTGCTGTTCCTGAGTATGGCCTGAATTCAGGGCTGCAGCTTTTCCACAGCAGCTACAGAACAAAGTCTACCTGAAAGAGAAGAGCTGGTGCCCTAGTGCATCTGTAGCACTGGAAATGAGTATCTTGTGGGGCCACTAGGTTAGGAAGATAGGAATGGAGCTGGAGAGGAAGTGGTCAGGTTGAACTCCCACCTTCAAGTGGGCTGAAGTGGGTTTCCCTTCCTTTCAGCCTCCCTGGAGAGACACCTGGGGCCAGAGAAGGTCCACACCTAGAGAGATGTAGCACTAGTCTGTTAGGAACATATCTCTTTTAAGAGAGTGTTCAGGGGAGGTTCCTGGTCGGAGCATCAGAGAAAAGACACAAGGTAGAGTTTTCCTGGCCAACACTCACTTCTAGGCAGAGGGAAAATGACCAGGCATCTCTCCAGCTTTGGTCAGAGTTTTCTGAAAGAACCCCTTGGCTGGGGCTGGTGAAACAAACCCAGCACTTAGTCTCTCTTTTGGACAAGTACAAGATGTCAAAATTGGGATTCAAACCCCTAGGATAAAAACCACAGGTGATGCAAAAACAGTCATGGAGAAACGTTCCAAGATTAAAAAAAATCACTGGTTGTGAGGGTATAAACAGTGCTCCCATGAACTAAACCCCAAACTCCAAATCTATAGATTAAGAAAAATCCACATTTACTAAATCGAACCCAGAATTGTTATATGTAGATTCAGGCAACACGTCTTCTGAGTTGAGACCCCAAGTTTGCTCTCTTCAATATATATATGAAGTCTGAATTTTCAGCCATAGAATGAGACCCCTTTCAATTGAGGTGGGAGTTTGATATCTAATACTAAAACATTAAAAAAATGAAATAATAGAGCAAGTTCCTTATTATATCAGAGTCCATGGGATGGCTGATCAGATTTTGTTGATAGACAAGGTGCTTAAAACACCAAGGGACAAAGTCCAAAAGCGTGGTGGAGTAGAGGGAGAGAAAAGCAATAAAGAGTTGTGCTCAGTGCACACTGATGGAGTGGCATGCTTGGGAGCTGGTATCTGTGAGGTTCCAACTGCCCAAATGCAAACCTAACAGCAGCTTCCTGCTGTTACCAAAGTCTTGGTACTGGTCCTCTTTGCACATTATCTCGACATTCAACTGTGCGCCTGAACAGTTTCCCATGCTGCAGTGGAACAGCAAATGCCTCCTAGACGGAACCTAGAGACCCAGGGCAATAGCAGTACCTTGAATATATGTCAAATGCAGCCCTCAAACAACACCTTACATCTAGTAAAGTAAGGATATACTAACAAAAATGATAGTCTTTTTTTCTTACAACGATGTTTAATCTCCATGCCAAGAACGTCTCATTTGATTTTTCCCCCCTGCCTCTTAAAATGAGGTGACGAAGTAGAAATCCAGTCATGAAAATAAAAAGGCAGAGGTGTATGAGCCCTGGCTCAATGCGACATACCAAATACACGGCATCCTGGTGTCACAGAATAGAGAGAACTGTCCTAGACACTGTGGGGAAGATGGGTAGTGGAGAGGTGAGAATTCTATTATACTTAGAGATCACTCACACTTGAACAGTGCATTAGTAATTGAATGAGGGTGCAGTGTCAGGGGTAGGGGAGCGCGGCAAAGTTGTAATTCTCTGTAATGAGGGTTGGGAACATATACATACTCATGGATGGGAAATTTTAAGTAGTATGTTTATTACTTTTTTTTCCAGCAATCTTGCAAGAGGCAGAAGTGTGACATTGAATTGAGTGAGACGAGCGTGTGGGGGGTTGGCGAGGAGCCCTTCTCTTGATGCAGGCCGCTGGCTTGTCAAGGAATGGCTGGTTCCACCGCTGGGCCGTGTTTACTCTTTTGCTTCAAGGAAAAGGGTTTCTTGAGGGAACAACTTTACCTCCAATAATGATTTATTTGGGTCCAGCTGAGTTATCTAAAGAGAAAGAAAACACATATTCAAAAGACTGGAACAAGCACTATTTTCTCCACGTGGCATTCATTCTATCTGTGCACATTGACTTTGAGCCTACTATGCACTGGCATGAGCATTCTCACATTATCTCATTTGATCTTCAAAATAACCCTGTGAGGTGTTGTTATAACACCTCCTTTCTATAAGTGAGGAAACCAGAGCTCAGAGCAGTGAAGTCTCATAGTTTAGTTTAGTGGTGGACTAGCATTTGACTTCAGGGTATAGGTTCTGGAGATATAACCTCATCCTGGGCAGGTGGAGGTCCCCTGCCCCCTGCACAGCTCAGCCTGGCCAGCAGAACAGGGGCCCTTAGGAAAGGTGTTGGTTAAACACCTGACTGGCATTCCTGGAGATCTCTGCTTGGTTCACTCCTTATAGGGGGGAGGACCTTTTCTGCTTGGTGGGACAAGAGCTAAGCCTTTGGGGCTGATCTTCCTGTTAAAACTACATGTCATAAACTGTAGAATGGCCATTCCACCAAGCCCAGTGATGAATATCTCCCCTGGTGAGGGTAGGCATATCACAGTCTCCTTGTTGGGAGTATATTTAGTTTGAAAAAAATGAGTCAATGTCATATACAATTTTATATTTTAGAACTTTAAAAAATCATTATTTTATAATATGAACTATTAAAGTTAGACAAAATCTTGGCTCAATGGGATATGCTAATCATAAGGGCATCCTAAATTAAGTTTATGCCCTCCTAGGCCAGGGGCAGGGATGGGATATGAAGGTTTACGAAAAAGGGGGCTGGGTGTGGTGGCTCACACCTGTAGTCTCAGCACTTTGGGAGGCCAAGTTGTGGGGATTGCTTGAGGCCAGGAATTTGAGACCAGCCTGGGCAACATAGCAAGACCGAAAAAGAAAAGGGGGGGGGGCATGAATTTTTAAAAAGTTGAGAAATACTGGAACTAGGAAGACTCATTTAAATCACAGCTTTGTGTTGGCTATCAGCTTTGTGGCTTTGGAGTTAATATCAATCTTGCAGGATGGAGTATTAAATGAGAAAAAATATATAATTATCAGTGTCTGGCACAGAGCAGGTGTTCAATAATGGCTGCTGTGTATGAAAGCAACTGTAAGTATGGGTGGACACAGATGAATGGACAGCTCCGAGTGTGTCTGACGGGAGGGCAAGCAATCTCTAGTCAGGCCTGAGGCTGCTGTTGGGCTAAATACAGGAGCTCTGGGCCTGTGGGCAAAGAGTGCAGCACCTGAGGCAGGCAATCTTGTCTTCTGCTCAACTCAAGCCACTCCTAATGAGATGATTCTTCTGTCTTCTAGCTAGGGGGAAGGGGAGTCCCTGGGGCCAAGGCCAGGTATCACAGGCAGGCTGGCAAGCTGAAGGGGGCCAGGAGGGGGATGCTATCTTCGACTGTATCTAGATGGAAACCTGGTATGCCCAGGAGGATCATTAAGGAGACATATCTGCCCCTAGAATCCTCTCTGCTTATAAGGAACCCGGGACAACTCTGCTCTACTAGTATTTCTTGGGTTATGGGCAGATGGGCAAACAGGGGTGGGGAAGGCACAGCCTGCTGTCTATCTTCCAATGCACTGGGGGGCAAGCTGCTGGCAAATGTTTACCCGTTTCCCCAATTAACGTACAATAACTGCGCTGGCTTCTGTCAACAAACAGAGCTATGCTGCCTCTGCTTCTGATTCTCTGGCATTTTCTGCCCAGCTGCTTCTGCTATTGTTCTTAATTAACATGCCAGAGCTCTTCCGGCATCTTCTACTTTGTTATTTGTGGTTTGTAAATATGATGTTTGCTGGGAGAAACCAAAACCATAATAGTGCCAGGGCTGTGAGTACAGGCAGGAAGATGTAGTAAGAGGCAAAAGAGGCTGGGAGGCCTGAGTATCAGGCCTGAGTTGCACCCTGCTGGGGTTGACAACATGCAAGGTTAGAGACTCATAAACTATAGCCAGTTTTCACATGAGCAAATTATGTCCCAGACAAGTTCAGCAATTTCCTCCAGTCACTTTAAGTGGGAGAACTGGAATTTGGGAAGGAGGAAACTAAAATTTCTTGAACCCCTATTACATGCCAGGCCCTTATATTAAATATATTATTTCATTTATCTGTACGACAACCAGGCAAAGTTGTAGAGAAGAGAAAATTGAGGCTCAAAGTGGCTGCCATATGGTTAGTGAGTTATATGGTTAGTGAGGACCTGTCTATATAGCATAATGGTTAAGAAGAGTGAATCAGGCCGGGTGCGGTGGCTCACGCCTGTAATCCTAGCTCTCTGGGAGGCTGAGGCGGGCGGATTGTTTGAGCTCAGGAGTTCGAAACCAGCCTGAGCAAGAGCGAGACCCCACCTCTACTAAAAATAGAAAAAAATTAATCAGACAACTAAAAATATATAGAAAAAACTAGCCGGGCATGGTGGCACATGCCTGTAGTCCCAGCTACTCGGGAGGCTGAGGCAGAAGGATCGCTTGAGCCCAGGAGTGTGAGGTTGCTGTGAGCTAGGCTGACGCCACGGCACTCACTCTAGCCCAGGAAAAAGAGTGAGACTCTGTCTCAAAAAAAAAAAAGAGTGAATCAAACTTAAGAGTCAAATCCTAGCTCTGTCACTTCTTACCAATACGACCTTAAAAGAAGCTATATAAGCTGAAAGCCTCAGTTTTCCCACCTATAAAATAGGAAGCATAGTTTCTTCTTTACAGGTTGTTGTGACGATGGTTAAATGGAATAATGTTGGTGAAGCCTCTGGTACAGTACCTAAGCCAGTAGGTAGTAGCCATTACTGGCTGGGGCTTGCCTTGGGTAGGGGCTCTGATCTCTAACTTCAAACCCGGAGCTCTTTCCCAGAAGCCTGTTGGAACCCCAATCTGCAACCTGATCTGGAGGCTGCCTTTTTTGTTTCTATCCCACTGTCCAGCAGGAATGCTACCCTTTACCTGATTGGGTAATGTCTGGATCTCTGGAGACTCCCTTCTATAGCCTGAGTGGTATTGTGCCACCAATGGACTGCTTCAAAACAAACATGGCTCTGCTGGGGGTGCTCCTTCTGGGGCCCCAGATCAAGAAATTTTTTTTTTGTTTGAAAGTCATTTTAGATAAGAATTTCAAAGTGAACATGGACAATCTCTGTTTTCACTCTCATTTTCCTGGCTTGCACAAAGATTAAGGGGAACCTAGGATGGTACAGGATACCATAATTTTCCCCAGCAAGATAGTGGCCATATGTGAAACCATACTACAGTGCTCTGGGCCCCATTCAAAATAGACATGGAGCATGCCAGGAGGGACATCCTACTAAGGAGGAGCCTAAAAACTGTTCTCTGAGAAACAACTGCAGAATGGGAGATATCTCATTGGAGAGGAGGCGTTAAGGAGTGGTCCTGTTGCTTCTGCCACAGGGCAGGGAGGAGGCTGTGCCAGCCTCTTTGAATATCTGAAGGGCTGACAAGTAGAAGATAGAGTAGATGTGTTCAGTGTAGCTCCAGTGGGTAAAGCTAGGATTGGTGAGGTGAAATCTCTGGGAAGCAGAGCCTAGCTAGTCAGAAAGAACTTTTTAACAGGCAGAGCAGCAGCTGGTATTGCTACTCCTACATCTCTTTTTTTTCTTTCTTTTTTTTTTTTTGAGACAGAGTCTCACTGTGTTGCCCGGGCTAGAGTGCCGTGGCGTCATTCTAGCTCACAGCAACCTCAAACTTCTGGGCTCAAGCGATCCTCCTGCCTCAGCCTCCTGAGTAGCTGGGACTATAGGCATGCGCCACCATGCCCGGCTGATTTTTTCTATATATTTTTAGTTGTCCAATTAATTTCTTTCTAATTTTAGTAGAGATGGGGTCTCGCTCTTGTTCAGGCTGGTTTCAAACTCCTGAGCTCAAACAATCCACCCGCCTCAGCCTCCCAGAGAGCTAGGATTACAGGCGTGAGCCACCGCGCCCGGCCCTACATCTCTTTCTTTCTGCTCCTCCTGTTCTTTATTTTCTGCTTGTTCTTCACAGTCATTATCATCATAGCAGCAACTACCATTTATTGAGCACCTGCTATGTAGCTGGAACCATGCTAGGTACTTTATATACTTTATATATAGTACCTTAACTAGTCCTCACAATGGCTCAGTGAAATAGGTATTATTATTGCCATTTTACAGATGAAGATACCATAGGTTACCTTGCCCAAGGTTGCAGGTAGAATAAGGTTTCACACTCAGATCTGTCTGACTTCAAAGCCCATGATAACCAGAAAGCTTCTGGCCAACATGTCAACAGGCTGCCTTGGGGAAATGGAGGAGTAGGGAGAGAAGTGAGTAAACTCCCTGCTGTGAGTAAACTCCCTAGGACATTCAATTAGGGGCTTATTTGCAGATGATGATAGCTAACATTTATTGAGCATTTACTTTTTACCAGGCACTTTATTCCAAGCACTTTACATTTATAAAATAATTTAATTTTCATAATAACCCTCTGAGGTAGGTTATCTGACAATTATTATCTCCATTTTACAGATGAGAGAATTGAGCCATGGTGCAGATTAAGTAATATGTCCAAGGTCACAGAGCTATTAAGGGCAGAGCCAGGATGTGAATCAAAAAGGCAGTCTCGATTTGGAACCCACATGTTTAACTACTAGATTACATTGCCAGAGGTGTTACTAAGAGTAGGATCCATACATACAGAGAAAGAAGTTGGATGAGATGACTCGGAGGTTGTTCCTAACCAAGCTTCTAGGATATAAGATCTTTTGCACTTTAAGAATGCCAAAAGGTCAAGGGTCAGGAAAAAAATCCTGAAATGTTTATAAAATACGAATACAAAAACCCAATCTGAGCTTGTGTTGTGCCATTTACTTCAGACTTTACTGAATTATTGACTCTCTAAATCAACAGAGAAACCCACCCTTTGGGACTCCTTAGGGAGGAGGGGTGTTCTCAAATAAGAGGCATGATTTGACTTTGTCTATAGTTAGAAAGGGAAAGTCAACCATCCTGACATTTTCTT